TGTGACCAAAGAGTATAACAGACACGAAATTCTCAGAAAGTAGAACCAGGAGCCATGGAGATCAGTTGGACAGAGAGATCATCCTACAGCACAAAATCAGACCTGATCAAGGATCTTCCTCACTCTTGGTGGGGCCTTCACAATGTCTACCCTGAGGGATTTCAGAATTGCTATGAAACAACCATTAGTATGTCTCCTGCTCCTCTTTCTGAATGAGGGTATTTATCGATCTTATCTGATCCACAATTTTATACCAAATTTGTGTGGGGAATATGGGCAAAAAACAAAAAGACATATACTACCATAAGTTTATAACATTCTCACTTTCATTGCATGGATATGAACTCCTCGGTTGCTTTAGGAGATGAATAAATTAAGATCCTATTTGGAAAATGAAGCTGTCTCGACTAGACTATGATACATGTCTTCTGTGAATATTGCAAAATACCATTGTTAACAACCTGCCATCTGCTGTTATCACAGTCTCTTAAGGGTGTTAATCTTTTTTTTTTAAGCTTTGTAAACTGTATTTTTCAATATTTTCACTTGAAGACCAATCTGATACATTTTTGAAAATTATCATAAGCTTTGATGTCAACTCATTTTAATATCAGCCTAATAGCCAAAATAATACAAATGGTGTAGCTTATTTAACGACAATCTATGGAGAGCCTACACTGATATTTTGTGCTATGATCTGTGAGTAGTTATGATACAGTCCTTGTGTTTAAGGAAAATATAACTCAGGAATAAAATCTTTGTATGAAGTATTATAAATGGTCTTAAAATGACAAAATAGTTAAAAAATAATGTCACAACTGAAGAAATAAAGGTTATTAGCCAAATTTGAAGCATCTAGAGTACTTAAGGCCAAGGATCTTCGAAATCTGCAAATGATATATGAACATCTCATAAAGAATTTTAACTTCCTTTCAGGAATTTTTTTTATCATATCCGCAAACCAGAAATTGAACTCTGGATTTTCTTCCTTTTTGTCTTTATGGAGCAAGAGATGACTTAAATGTTGATACATGAAAAAGGAAGAGCAAATAAAAGACATCTGTATAAATCATAAATTGGAAAGCAGCTTTTGAATTCAAGTTGACTAGTCTAAAAACTATTTTCATGGAATCTTATTTTAAAAGTTTAATGACTTCAGATGATTTGCTATGGAAATGACAGTCCTTGGAAAAATAATATATTATTTGTCAAAGGTTGTTTTCTACACATTATATGCAGACTTTAGGCACATATTATTCCAGAAGCAACTGAGATAAAAATGGGCTAAGTTCATGGAAAAATACATGAAAACATCAAAGTTCCTTGCAAAAAAAGTACCTGGCAATAATTTTACATTATTATTAATCAATGAAATAGTCTTTAGTGAGATTATATCTAAAGGATATTGGCCATTTGAATAAGTTTAAACTAATCTTCCTGATGAAAACATCATGTAAGTTTCCTTTTCAAAGATGTAAAATGTTAACCAACTTAGCCCAATTTCACCAACAAGCTATAATCATAATTTATATTATTTAGCCATTTAAATATTAACTGACAAGTCTTTACTACGTGACATTAATTTGGAATCTTTTCCGCAAAGGCAAATATCATTTTTATTAGTTTTCTTTGTATCTGTCTAAATATATTAGCCACCTACAGTGAAATGAAAGAGACATCCATATGCTATCTGAATTGTTGATTCTGAAATCAAAAGTTTGATAAACATTGAAAACAGTGTCATCATATTATATACTAGATGGAAAAGGGATTACAGATTAGGTAAGTGAATTTTTATAATTAACAAAATATATTAAAAGCGTTTGGCTTATTTGAATAAAGTTAGGATTGTTTAAAGTTATGGCTTGAACATATAAATACACACGGTAGAGTGGTTTATTATATAAGTTCACTTCAAAAATGAATTATATTGTGTGGTGATGCTGCCATCTGTGCTCATACCAAAAACAAGAATGTTTAGCCTAAAATTCCAAGCACATGCAAAGCCTTCAATATGTAACGAAGTTATTCCATGAAAACATGCCTGTACTTGGAAACTATTTTATCTAAATTAAGACGAATAAAATGTTTTATAACTTATTAGACCAAAGAATGTTGTCACAGCTTAAAACAAAGTTCCTTCATAATGTTAATTTCAGAAATGTTCCGTGAAGGTCATTGGAAGCGTTTACTGATCTGGTACAAACAATTCCATCATTGATACGGCTCAGGGGGGCCAGGGGATAGCAGTGCTGGGGCCAAGGGTGGCACAAAGTTTCTTCTCCGAAGCAAATTCCAGTACTACATGGCTTTTCTTGCCCCTTCTCCTTCTGTTTTCCTGTTTTCCAAGAGGCAGTGGATGCAAAGGCTCCTTTTGAATGAGACAGAGACACAAGCTAAATATGAGTTAACAGAATAATACTATGCAACACTTTTTATGTGTGCAAATAGTCTGTATATGAGGTGGTCTCTGAGACTAGCAGTCAATGTTTTTTTTGATTTTCAAATCTTGATTTCTAGAAGCCAGTTAAAATTTATTGACATTGTCGGCAATTTTCTGATTCATTTAACTGAAGACTTCCCTTTGTTAAAAACGTTTTAGTGGATACTGATTTTTCCAGAGGAGAAGCAACAATCCTTTCTTCAGTGGAGATGTTGGAGGCACTGAGGAATTAGATTGCTCTCATGATGATGTTTCATTATCACCCGAGGTGAACGCTGGGGATTATTATTATTGATTCAGAGGTGGGCCTGGGACTGTAGCACAGGAAAACTGTCTTCTCTGCTCTTACAAGAGCCCCTGGGGAATGAAGGGTTGACCTTGAAGTATTGGGGGAGATGTAAGGAGGTAGATAGTAGGAGACTAAGGAGGAAGAAACTGAATGGTAGCCATATGCTGTACTTTATAGGCATACCCTGGTTAACTCAACACAATGGAGGATATTCCTATGGCTATGTATTTTAAGCTTCTCAGCAATCTTTACTGTTCCTCTACATGGGAATGGTCTCAGTGGGGATAGTGCCATCTCCAGAGAATATTTAAGAAATATGTGGGGGCATTTTGGGTTGTGCAAATAATGGAAGAGAATTACTGCTATTTAGAAGTTGAAGGTCAGAGATACTATACATCCTCTTATTTTTGTAAGAGTCACATGCAACAAAGAATTATCTTACCTGCTCTGTGATTTGAATGGCCCATCATTCATGGAGTCTAAAACCAAATTAATGATCTAAGAAACTAACTCTGTAAGATATTAAAACAAGTATTTTTTGCAGTGTTTAAGTTCACTGAATATTTCAGAAATGCAACCATTGTGTGCAATAAGACTAAACATCGTTATCTTTAAAAATTTACCCAAGGGTTCTTCACTATTTTGGAAAATATCACCAATGGCAGCCTCATTCCAAAAATTTAGTTACAAATAGAAATCACCTGTAAATCAGTCTTCATTTGACCCTTTAGATTCCACGTACAAATGAGGTCATGCAGTATTTGTCTTAGTGCATCTGGCTTATTTCACTTAACAGGTTCACATTTTTACAAATGACAAGATTTCCTTCTTTTTATGGCTGAGTAATATTTTATTATATGTATATCTATTGTTTTTTTTTTGTAAAAAGTGAAATAGTATTACTCAAACTTTCAGAAAGTGGGTATATCTGGATATAATTTCATTATAAGAACAAGATGTTTGCAGCTGAATTTCATCTAACTTAAAGAGAATATATAATATCAGTGTTAGTAACTGAATATTCTGATACACGCACACACATACACACACTTTCAAGTAGATAACTTGCATGACAAAAATCTAGAAATAAAGTACATATTCATCAATAAAGAATTAGCTGAATAAATTACAATATATTTGTATCATAGAATATAACATAACAATTAAAAAGAATGAATTAGTTTTGACTCAGATTTTGTATTGTTTGGTGAGAAAATCAAAAACCAGTGAAGTACGTATAATGAAATAACACTTTGTGAAACAAGCCATAATATAAAATAATGATGTATGATTCCATGAGATAAAAGAAAAGCATGGGAACATTCACACTAGGTTGTTACCATGTATTATTCTGGGGGACTGGAGATCATAAGGTTGTGAAAGTGTAGGCAAAGAGTAATAGAGGAAAACATGCATATGTTTGCATATTTAATTAAGTAAAATTACATATATGTATAAAGATTAAATTTTTATAATAAAAATTTAAATAAAGGTGAAAAGTAAAATCACCTATTAAAGCTTTGACTCATTAAAGAATATTATGGGAATTTTCATCTGAGAAAGTCATGAGTTGGAAGTGTGCTTTTGGGAAAGTAAATTTCCTACTATGTGCCTCAGTTGATCAACTCATTGTATTTTTCTAAAACAAGCATATGAGAACATGTTCTCTGTTTTATACAAAGTATGATGCAGGTACACTGACAACGGTTGTGCTTGTGATCACATTCTCTGTGCCTGGGGTTACCTTGATTCATTGTTAGAATTCAGAGTTCTAACACTTTGGGTGGGCTTAACCCACAATAGTTCTTGCCTAATGAAAGAGGTTTACTGACATTCAGCTTTTTAAAAAAGCACAAGTCTGAAGCATTCTTTTAATATTCTAAAGCATTTAAAGGTAGAGACATTTTTTCTAAGAACCACAGCTATTTTTCTCATCCTCGAATTTTTCAAAGGCAATTCTGTTGGGTCATTTATGATCTTGTTTCAGCATTCACTAAAAATGCAGCAATTCAGAGTGAGACACATACATTTTATTACATTCTAAATATTTCGAGACATTTTTTATTGAAATTAGGAAAACATAAACTCTAAAGTCTTCAAATGATAGCTTTCTGAGAAAAACTAACAAATTAACATTGAACTACATAAACTGTTTCTAAGGTAGGAAAACTTTTTAATTGGCCAACACCTTACTTCTATCAAAAGGCAATGTTATAGAAAATTAGGTTTTTCTTCTTCGGAAGAAAAGTAGTATTGAGTGTCCCCTGGTTACTTTTTCTTTTCTTTCTTTTTTTTCCCTTTGTCAGGAGCCGAGATCTTCTTTTCTGTTTCTGCCCGGACTGCTACTTCCTCCGCAGCCAGAGCCTCCAACCTTAGGCGCTCGGCTTCCAGTAACTTGTTTCTATATTCCTCTCGGATGTTGAAGATCTTCTGTCGGGCTTCATCTAAGGAGTCCTATTCCAAAACAAAACCCCAAGCAAATTAGATCCACTGATAAAGGCTTATGGTCCCAGAAAGAAAAAACAAAGAAGTTGCAAGCCCTTTATTCTTTTCTTATGCCGGTAGATTCAAGTGGGAAATTACTAAAAAGAGATGAGAATTATGTTATGGACTCAAAGGCTTATCAATACATAAGATAGCAACAAAGCGTACATGAGATTTTAACAGAATGGTAAATAAAATCATTAGTTTGAGAAAAAGAGAGGTGAAAAAAGAAATAGGCAGAAATTTTGGCAAAGCAACTATGCTGTAAGTGAATTCGGATATGATCTATATAAAATGTACAGCTCCATGTGTCTCTCACAGTAACCGTAGTCACTAAATTACTAATTACCATGCACATTCTAGCCCTGACAATATATATCTGAGTTGTACTTGAAGAACTTCCAAATAATACCACCTAATCCATTGGTTATCTTTGTTTCTGGCAGTTTGGCTTTCATTTGTACCACTTCAAAAAAAAAAAAAAATCTGTGTTTATCAAGGACACCAATGACTATATGCAGCTAAATACATTTTTTGGTCCTATTCTTATACCCTGTGCTCCTGGATCAACTGATTCACTTGGTTTCCTGGACATCATACCCTGTTCATTTTCCTTCTATTTTACTGTCAGTTGCCTCTGCTAATTTCTCTTTTTCTCCTTTATCTTTTAATAGGGAAGTGGCCATGTCTCAGATCTTAGGCCTTTTCCCTTGGTGATCTCATCTAAATAAACTTATGGCTTTAAATTCCATTTATACACTGATGGCTCCTTTTTCTTTTTCTTTTTTATTTTTTATCTCCGGCCCAAGTCTTGCTCTCAAATCCTAGAATCATATATCTAACTTCTATTCAACAGCTTCACTTGACTGTCTGAGAGATATATAAAAATATTTGTTTTGATGCAATAGATATATCAAAAAACGTCCCAAACTGAAATTCTTATCTTTTCTCCTGAATGATCAGATTTGACAGCGACTCAAACTTTTTAGTTGTTTAGGTGAAATACTTACACTATTCTTGACCCTTCTCTTTCTCTTTAAGGCACCAACACAATCTGTCAGGAAATCCTATTGACTTGACCTTCAGAACATATCGTCTAGTTGCTTCTAAGCACCTCCACACTATCACCTAAGTATGAGCCGCGGTTACCGCGGTTACTGCTCCCATGATCAGTGTGATCGTCTCCTCTCAGATTCATCTTCTTTTATGTGTGCCCCCTCTCTATACCTGTTTTCCTCACAATGTCCAGAGCAATCCTTTGAAAATACGAGTCAAATCGTGTTGCTTTTCTGTTCCTTAGAACCCCATCATGGTTCCATAGTTACCTCAGAACAAAAGCTAACATCTTTACCCTTCACAGTCCTCCATGATTACCTTCTGTCTCTGATCTCCACTCATCTACCCCTGCTCACTGCTTCAAAGGCACAGGCTCCCTGCTGTGCTTCCTCTAACATACCAAAGATGCTCTTGCCCTAGATAGCCTTCCTCCAGCTGTTGTCTCTTCTGAATCATTGTGTTCTGATCCTGTTCTTTTTTTTCTCAACACTTATCCCTTTCTGTCTTATTCTACAATGTACTTAACATATTACGTTGGCATTTTAACACCTATTCCTTCACTAGAATGGAAGCCCCACGGTACAGCGGCTTACATTCATGTTCATGCTTACGACAGTCCCTGATATAAAAATGCCCAGAAATATTTGTGGAGTGAATAATTTGTGGAGATGAGAAGTCAGAAGACTATAAACAGGTAAATATAGTTTATATTTTTAAAATGAAGAAAAGGTTTCAAAACTATAGACAAGAACGTTTTAAGGTCAGTTCAGGCAACATTCTACAAAATGGACTATGAAATGTCTTCTCTAAAAATGATTACGAATAAGGCAGTGATTATCAAGTGTCAGTGTAGGCTTCCTAAGAGGCCATGGCTTCCTAATTTCATCTGCAGTTCTGATAATATGACCACAATTATGGTTCAACTGATTGATTGATTACTGTTTCAAAAACAATATAATAAAAGAACAAGAACAAAAAAACTGATGCTAGCCAGAAGAGAAATTTCTAGAAATGACTGTTTTGTCCTCATCACTAAATTCTTCAAGAAATTTTCCACAATTTTGCAACTTCGCATTACTTTTGGTTGAGATAATAGAAGAGCTGAATGTCAGAATCAGATTCTCCAAAGCTTTTGACAAAAAAAAAAAAAAAAAAAGTACTGTAATCACTTAAGGATTGCTATATTGGTATGTTTTTCTCTCACCTTATAAGAAAGATGATGCTGATCATGTTTCTTTTAGGTAGCTTCAATCAAAACTACTTTGCTATCTGTACTCTACACTTAAAGAATAGGATCTAAATTCAAAACTGTCCCTGTTAATATTTCTTCCCTATTTCCTCCTATTTGCTGCATTTGCTTATCTACTAAACACAGAAAACGTGCCCGCACTTTGTTTTATAATATTTTAATTTAAACTATTTTACATGATAGACTAAATATATATAATTTCAACATTCATTTATTGAGACACCGATTCATTTATAAAACAAATTTCTTTGAAATAGACATTCCTTCTGGGCTCTGGGAATACGATGGTAAGTCAAAATGAAGTTTCTGTTCACATACAGTCTATAGCTTCATGAAGTTAGATTAAAATGCATGCATACTTAACATATATGATATAGATGAATATCCATGTTAAACCAATAAGTGAAGAAAGTAAAGGGAGGCATGGGTATACAAAATATGAAGGGCGCTAATTTTGAAAGCATTGCTAGAGAAGATCTTTCTGATGAAGTGACAATACCTGAGAAACCTCACAAAGTGAAACTCTAACCCATTTGGCTCTCTGAGAGAAGGATGCTCAAGGAAGAGATAAGAGCAAGGTCAAAGGCCCAGAGGTGGGAACGTGCCTGGCTGTTAGTGGAAAGGCCGTCAGGTGAAGAAAAGAAAAGGAGCAAAGCTGGTAGAATGGTAGAGAAAAAGATCAGAGAGGAAAGTGAGCACTAGATCATGGAGAGCTCTGGATGTGATAAAGACTTTGTCTTTCTCCTCAGTGAGATGTGAAGCCATTACAGGAGTCAAATGATCCCACTTTCCGTTTCAAAGATGTACTGTGATAACCATTCATGCAATTCAGAAGATATTTCCGATTCTCCAGGCACATGGTCGCATTGCACTCTGTATTAGTCTGCCAAGGCTGTCACACAAAGTGCCATAAACCGGGTGTTAATGATGGCAGAGTAGAGTAGATACGACATGTGACCCGCAAAGGCAAAAATATTTATCCGGCCTTTTACAGAAAACAAGTTTGACAACCTCTGTCTGAAGCCATAGAGACATCGAGGTTTTTATTATCACAGCATAAAATAGTTTGTCCTGATCGATACAGTGCTTTCGGCTGCTGAACAGACGACACTGTAGAAGGGCAAAGAGGCAGTGACGTCAGTCAGGAGACTGTAGCAATAAACGGAAAACAGTGACGGTTGGGACTAGACTGGTCGGGGTACAGAGAGTGAAAAGTGGTTGAATTTGGGATATTTTTTACTTGTCGGTAATGCCGACAAGTTTTGATGATGGATGAAGTGTGGGGAGTAAGAGAAGTCAGGCATGTCCCCGTGGTCTCCGCCCTGAGCAGAGTGTCACTGTCCTTTATTGGAAGGGAGGATATTGGTGGAGTGACATGGCTGCACTGAAATGAAAGGGAGGGCAAGAATAACAGAATTTGGATTTGGAGAGGTTCGGTTTGGGGTACCTGCTGGACAAACAGGAAGAGGTGTCGAATAGGCATATTCCTCAAATGGGCCAACACTGGAAATTATATGGAGACCCTGATATCACTCCTGTCGCCGTCACTGCCTTTGGGAGTGTGTGTGTATGTGTGCAATGTAGGGAAGAGGGAGGAAAAAAATAAGTCATCCTCTGTAGTGGAAGTCATCCACATATATTTATTGAATTTCCCATTTCTGGTAGGCTACTTCCATTTTTAATTAAGCTTGATCTTTCACACTACAATGCCTCTAGTTTTCTCCTGGGGTGGAGAAATGACAGTCACTTGCCTACAAAAAGTTGAGGTGATGATCTGCAATTCTAACTGCTTCGTAAGTGGCTTTAAACCAAACCACCCAATGATTGTAACCTCCCCCTTCACTTCTTAACGTGGTCAGCGCCACCAATTTCTGAGGCTTTGGGAGATTCTGTGGAGCAAACTGGGTTGATTCTTAAAAGGTTTTCTACTGCCAGCTTTGGTTTGGACCGCCTCAAGTCTGTTAATGTGATCTTCATCTGGCTATTTTCCAACTTCTCAAATATTTGTGTCTTCTCTCCCATTCTTCCTGCTTTGTGGATAGATTCTCAATACTGAGCTTAGCGAGATTTTAGGGAGTAAGTGAAATTACAAGTGCATAATCAATTTGTCATCTTTTCTGAGAAGCTGAGAACTAAATGTTTTCAATTTCTACCCGGGTACTACATGATTCTATGACATCTTTTTAACATTACAGAAGAACTTGTCAACTGTGATTCGTGTATGTACTTTGAGACTCACCCGCATTTCCCCATATATCTCCAGGACTTTATCCTTTAATTTAAACCGTTCTTCTTGGTCAATGTCTCGAATGCTAAGGAGTCGGGTCCTATATTGTCGAAACTGATGAACCTCCTCAGCTTTTTGCATTACCTGCTGCTGATTCAGTTCCTCTGTTTGCAGCAGAGGCTCGGTGTTTGTTTTCCTTGACACGAAAACATCAAAAGAGATACGTAAATCATTTGGGAACTCAGGAATGAACTTTAGATCATATCAATGGTGTGGTGGTCTGAATCAAATAAAACATTAGGGATAGAAAGAATAATCATTATTTTTAGATGGGCTGTGCTCCATCCATTTGAATCGCTGATATTTTAGAAAAAATATCAGTAAAATTATATGTGCCATTTTATGAGATGTTTGTGGAACTGGTGTTTGAAACTGCATCTATTTTGTAGATCTTTCTTTTTAATTTATGAGGCTAAATAATTTTGAAAATGTCTCCAGACTTATAAATATGCTTTAGTAACTATCTTCTATTAATCCTATTGTCTAGTTCTTAAGAAAATTGAATCTAATTAAATAATAACAGCAGTTACAGTGGGAATTTTCTGTAGCTCAACTCACCTTAATTAGGCTCAAATTAAATCTTTAAAGAAAACATTTCATTGTTTTCCAATCGAAACATTTCATTGTTTTCCAATATTAATAAAATATTTTATGGTTGACTTAATAAAACATTTGCTAAATTTGAGGTGTAATAATAATATGTACTTCTAAAAATTTAAACATACTGAAAATATATTAAGCATTTAATTTCAAATTTTCACTTGTTCAGCAACTGTTTATAGGCAATGGATGCAAAATTCTCTGAACACAGATGTCAGCGTTAATCATGTTTATTAAAACTTACCGTATATATTGACTTAAGTCTACACATTCTAGCTCTTTTCGAATAAGTTGTGGAGATGTTTCCAAAATTGTTGGGGATCGTGAAGGAGGCCCTGTTTAAAAAAAAAGTCCTACATTTAAAAAAAGAATCAACAATGATTAAATGACTGTTATATCTCACTTTAATTGAAAACAATATTTTCTGTTAAGAAAATAACCATTGATTGAACTTGCTTTATTTAATATGATTTTAATATGATGTAATATGACCTTATTAAAATATAATTATGTTTCATATTTATCCTCTAGTTGGTATAACTATACTAATAATTAAATGGAGATGGAGATAACAAAGTGAATATAGTTTATAAGAAGAATAACAAAATGTTACTCTAATTATAGTTAAATGAAGGCAGGGACAGAAAGAAGTCATACTTTAAGTTATAAAACTTTATCATAAATAAGTTAAATGACCCAATATTTAAAAAGCTTGATCTATGTGTGAAAGCTATACTAAGCACTATATATAGGATATAAAAATGTTCAAGATGCAGTATGTTATCTTCGAGAAACTCCAGTAGAGTAGGCAACATATAACAGATAAACAGTGAATATCAAAATAGCAGAAGCTTTTTACTAGACCCCTATGAATCGATAAGAACAGATTTAAGAAAGAGATTTTAGAGTCTAAGATATTAACTGTTCATTCTTTCCAAACCATTTTTCAATTTATTTATTTATTTATTTATTTATTTAGCTTGACTTGTATGAGCTTTTTATGTATTTTGGGTATGGATGCATTATCAGGTATATGATTTGCAAATAAACATATAGTATTATATTAGTTTCAAGTATACAACCTAGTTATTCAATGTTTATATAACTTACAAAGTGATCACCACAATAAGGGTAGTAACCATCCGCCACCTTACATAGTTATTACGATATTATTGACTGTATTCCCTATGCTGTACATTACATCCTTGGAACTTATTTTATAACTGGGAGTTTGTACCTCTTAATCTCCTTCACCTTTTTTTGCCCATCCCCTTACCTCTCTCCCTTCTGGCTACCATTAGTTTGTTCTCTGTATCTGTGAGTCTATTTCTGAGTTGTTTGTTCACTTGTTTTCTGGATTCCACATGAGTGAAATCATACGATATTTGTCTTTCTCTGACTTATTTTGCTTAGCATAATATCCTTTAGTCCATCCATGTTGTTGCAAATGGCAAAATTTCATTCATTGCTAATGAATGAGTAATAGTCCATCTTTTTGAATCATTTAATAATTTTTAATTACTGAAGCATAATTTACATACCCCAAAATTTACCCATTTGGAAAGTATAATGCAATATTTTTTAGTAAATTAACAGAGTTGTGCAACCAGCACCAAAATCCAGTTTCAAAACATTTCCATTATCCAAGTTAAACCTTCTGTGCCCTTTTATAGTCATTCTGCATTTCTACCACAAGCCCCAGGCAACTGTGGGAAAAATAAATCATCAACTTTATGTCTCTATAGATTTGCATTTCTGGGACTTTACATGTAAGTAGGAATGATAAGATTATGTTTAACTTTTAAAGAAACTGTCAAATCATAGTGTTTTGATGATTGTTAGCTTCATAATAAATTTTGAAATTACTAAGTAAAAACCTTCCCCCTGGTTCTTTATCAAAATTATTTTGGTCATCCTGGGCCTTTTGCATTTCCATATAAATTTTAGGATCAGCTTATTAGATTCTGTAAACTGTCTACTAGGATTTTGATTGGGATTACACCAAATTTGGGCCGGAGTTACACTAGGGGCGCTTCCTGAGCAGTCAAAATGAAAACTAGCCTGAAAACAATAGCCTTGACATAACTATGGGACCTGACACAATAGTGAAGCAATGATAGGGAAATTCTCCAACACAGGCAAGCACAGGACAGTTGGCATGACCTAGAATTCACCTCAGCTTCATTAACAATCATTATAGTAAATTTTGATTGCAGTTGTGACACCTCCCCCCATGGGCAAACTGAGTGCATTGCATTATAAGTGTACCCACACTGAGAGAGAAGACGGTTACATAAGAAACCTTTCTGTCAACCAAGGCTTGTAGGGGAAGGGCTAAGGTGACAAGGGGAGGACCAAAGCCTTGCAAGAAGAATAAAAGAGCCCAAAGCAGGCGGCTTCGGGGCTGATCTCTCTTGGCAGCCCGCTCTCCCTTCTGAGAGTGTACTTTATCTTGGAGGTTGACCACTCTTGGCAGCCTACTCTCCCCTCTGTGAATGTACTTTTATTTTCAATAAAACTAGCTTCCTTACCAACTGCTGGGCGTCTGCCCTAAATTCATTGTCACCAGACGTCAAGAACCGAGGACCAGGAATTCCAGGACTCCCCAGAACTAGTAACAGATTTGCAGATCAATTTGGAGAGAATTTCTATCTTACTGTATTGAGTCTTCCAGTCCAAAACATGGACTACCTTTCTCTTTATTTATATCTTTTAAAATTTCCTTCAGCGATGTTTTATAGTTTTCAGTATACGAGTCTCATGTTTTGTTAAATTTATTTCCATATTTATTAGTGATGCTACTGTGAATAAAATTCTTAATTTTATTTTTTGATTGCTGACTAATAATATGTAGAAATAAAAGTAATTTTTATATATTAATCTTGCATCATGTGACCTTGCTGAATTCACTTATTAGTTCTAGATGATATTCTTGGTATTTTTCCCCCAATCTCTTAAAATATTCAGTATACTGAATCAATTTGAGAATAGTTTTATTTCTTCCTTCCTTATATGGATGTGTTTTATTTCTCTTTCTTGATCAAACTGGCTAGAATCTCCTTTAAAATGTTGACTATAAGTGGTTGGGGTGGACATCCTGTCTTGTTCTTTATGAGGTTAAAATCATTATGATTGTTTTGTTACCCAGATCTCATCTGTTCAATTTCGGGCTGATTTGCTGCTTGCCATTACAAATTGTTTGCCACCAAGTTCACTGTTACTTGTAACAGTGCCCATGGGCATGAATTTTCCCATGGGCCTCAAATCAGGAAAAAAAAAAAAAGAAAAAAACAACTCTTCTAGCATGGGCAGCAAGGTTGCTGGTTCTCATAGCTACCAAGATACAGACCTTGGAGTTGATGAGAGATCTTCATTAATATGCTATAGACCCTTACTGTTCCTACCAATTATGGTGGGCAGCAAAATGGACCTCCAAAGATGCCTATGTCCTAACCTCTGAAACTTAAGAATATCTTACCTTATAGGGCCTTTGCAGGTACATTTAAGGATCTGGATGGAAATATGATCCTGGATTATTCAGCTGGGCTCAATGTAATCACGAGAACCATTAGAAAGGGAAAAGAGAGACAGGGAGAAGAGAAAGTATCCAAGGAGATGAGGTGATGAACAGAGACAGAGATGGAGGGAGGAAAAGAGAGACAGAGAGATTTAAAGTTGCTATGCTGCAGGCCTTGAATATGAGGAAAGGGTCATACACTAAGTAGTCAGATGGCCCAAGAAGCTGACAATGGAACAGATTCTCCCCTAGAGCCTCCAGGAGGAATGCAGCCTGCCAATACCTTAATTGTAAAATTTTTGACCTCCAAAACTGTAAGAAATTAAATTGCGTTAAGTCACTGCTTGTGGTTATTTGTTACAGCAACAATAGAGAACTAAAACAATTAAGATCATTTGTTTTTGTTCTTATTTTCAAGAAATGTTTTTACTTGTGTGCCTTCAGAGTTTTAAAATTTTTTTAATCAATTTTTTTCAATTTATCTTTTGTATGTGTGATTTTTCTATCTCTCTTTTTAAAAATTTTATTAAATTTATCTGGGTGACTGGTTAATAAAATTATATAAGTTTCAAGAGTATAATTTTATAGTACATTATCTGTATTTTGCATTGTGTGTTTACCGCCCAAAATGAAATCTCCTTCTATCTCGATATATTTGACCCTCAACCCTTGTCAACCTCCCTGCTACTCCCTTTTCCCTCTGGTAACCCCATGATGTTGTCTGTGTCTACGAGGTTTTGTTTACTTGTCTTGTATGCTCATTTGTTGCTTCTACTTTTATAGCCCACATATGAGTGAAATCCTATGGTTCTTGATTTTTCTGACTTATTTCACTTAACATGATAATCTCAAGATCCATCCATGTTGCCGCAAATGGCAGTATTTCATCTCTTCTTATGGCTGAGTAATATTCTATTGTATACAGGTACCATATCTTCTCTATCCAATCATCTATCGAACCACACTTCAGTTGTTTCCATGTCTTGGCTACCGTGAATAATGCTGCAATGAACATAGGGGTACATATAGCTTTATAAATAAGTGTTTTCAAACTTTTTCCTAGTAAATACTTGGAAGAGAGATTGCTAGGTCATAAGGTAAGTCTATCTTAATTATTTGAGGACTCTCCATACTGTTTTCTGTAATGGCTGTACCAATTTACAGTCCGCCAGCAGTGTATGACAGTTCCTTTTTCTCTACAGCCTCTCCAACATTTGTTTTTATTACTTGTCTTGTTAATGACAGTCATTCTAACAGGTGCGAGGTGGTGTTTCATTGTGGTTTTGATTGCATTTTCCTGGGAGCTAGTGAAGTTGAGCGTCTTTTTACATGTCTGTTGGCCATTTGCATGTTTTCTTGGAAGAAGTGTCTATTCAGGTCTCCAGCCCATTTTTTAATTGAATTTTTTTTGAGTTGTATGAGTTCTTTGTATATTTTGGATATTAACCCTGTATCAGAGGTGTTGTTTGCAAATATCTTCTGCCATTTAGTTGTCTTTTTGTTTTGTTGATAGTTTCTTTGGCTGAGCAGAAGCTTTTTAGTGTGATATAGTCCCATTCATTTATTTTTGCTTTTACTTCCCTTGCTTTTGAGGTCAAATTCATAAAATCTCCTCTTAGACAAAGGTCTATAAGTTTACTACTTATGTTTTCTTTCATATATTTTATTGATTCAGGTCTTATATTTAGGTCTTTGATCTATTTTGAGTTACTTTTTGTGTATGGTTACAAATAGCAGTCTAGTTCCTTTCTTTCTTTTTTCTTTTTTCTTTCTCTTTTTTTTTTTTTTTGCATGTGGCTTTCCAATTTCCTAGCACCATTTATTGAAGAGGCTTTC